AATCTACAAAATAAGAAATAAAATCTCACGTGTGACATACAACAGCAATCGCCAGTCTTTCGACACCAATGGAAATTACAGAAATTACTATTGACGCGACATTTTCGTGCGCCACCCGGTATATAGCGCTCCGATTGCTCCGAAGTTTGCATCAGCCTTAGGTTAGGTCGGGTCAGGTTAGGTTACGTTATGGAGTGGGTCGTCCGCTGCGAGAGCGGCAGTCGTGTAAAAATTCTAGTATTATGAAGACATGCCGTTTATTGTCACAAGTGCATTTCGTTTCGATTGCGTGATTGCGTAATGGGTGATTTAATCGCGCGAACGCAAGGATAAGAGCCCTCGGAGCCGTCGGAGCTCGGAGCCTTCGTGTCTCGCGAGCGAAACGGGAGGTTATGTCGCGCGCGGCACGTGAGAGCTACGTTAACTTGCCTGCGGTGACACTTGAGGATCTTCACGGACCGAGCGCGAGAGGATGTCGTCCGAGAAGCCGTGTCGCGCTTGCATGGACTTCCGGACGTGGGCGAAACGCCAGAAGGAAGTCTACGACTCGGAGAAGGTGAGCCGGCAATTTAGTGACAAATTCGTTGACGATTGCCGTGAATTTCGTCGCCTTATTGCTCAAGTGTCCGGTCTTATTTCGTCAGACATTCTTGCGCGACAATTGTTCTTGCTTTTTATCACTGTTTTGCAAGAAAATTTATTGCGATATAAATTTTACAAATTATATTTTATATCAGGGAGCACAGAAGAAACAGGACCAAACACCGAATGCCAGGAACGGTGGTACTCGAGACGATTGTCCTTTGGACAAGGATGAGTTGGGCTCGAAGACCTGGGGCTTCTTGCACACCATGGCGGCGTACTATCCCGATCAACCGAACGAGAGACAAAAGTCTGACATGAACAGCTTCTTTCACACGTTTTCCAAATTTTATCCCTGCAACGTATGCGCGGAGGACCTGCAGGAGCAATTGAAACACTCGCCGCCGGAGACCGGGTCGCAGGAAAAATTGAGTCAATGGCTATGCAGAATTCACAATGAAGTCAACAAGAAACTCGGGAAACCAGAATTTGATTGTAAACTAGTAAATCAGAGGTGGAGAGACGGTTGGCTGGATGGTTCTTGCGATTGATAAGTAGCAATAATAGTTTTAGAATGTACAATGGGACCTGAATACAATACGAATTATTGTATAAATAATTGTTGTAGATTTTTTCATTGGACATTGCTCTTAGATTCTCGACGGTACGATGTGTACATAAGGAAATATGAAATTAATAGCGATATATGTACTTAAAAGACTTTCCAAGTTCTGTTTTCTTCCTGGAACAATATAGTAAATTTACTATAAGAGATGGGAATAAAATTCCGAAGTTACAAAATAAGAGACGGGAATAAAATTGCATTATGCACTTTATTATAAATATCTTTGTGATAAGAGAAAAATCGTATAGATTCGAAACTACTTATATACAAATGTTTGCCAACGGCAATATTATTCAGTATTATTATTAACATTATTCTACTATCTAAATTGGGATTTCCATCTCGATAAGTACAATGCAAAAAAGTGCACATTTGTTGCACTGCATCATGTATAATAAAAAAATATACTGATATTACAAAATTTCTTTTTTTTTTTTCACTAGCCATCCATTGCTTGTCTTCAATAGTCACTTTAATAATAGTGCATTCCACCTGTGGTTGCACGTCTCTATTCGCTATTTTTTCTATCTACGCCTATCGTAGTGATTGACTAAAGTAAGCCGGTGTCCGTGTGATAGTAAATGCGGTAACTGCAGTTCGAGGACCAGGCTCGTAGCTGTGATCCTGCCCTTGACCACCTATGGGTACAACTTGGAATGTCCTAATGTGAAATGGAAAACGTTTATTGTTCACAGATGGTCGAGTTACATATAAAAACATTATGTGACCCAAGAAGACAATGAAAAGGGAACTTCCTTTGGCCATGCTCTCTCTCACCCATTCGTCCACGAATATAGTGTTGATTAATACCTGTAAAAATAAAAAAAGAGATGTCTTATTTTTACAGCATATTTTTATTATGTAGAATTTAAGTATAATTAAAAATTATTTCAAGAAAAAAATAATTGTTAGTATATATGCGTACCGTTAATGGGTGAAAGAGAAACCACACGGATCCCAAGAGAAGTAGCGAAGTGTAGAAGTGGAGCTTTGTATTCAATTTTCTGATAGTCTTGAAGCAACGAGTGACAAACACGAACCAGGCGATCAATTTCAGCGCTATTAGACCGTAGCCCGGTGGCGACTCGTAAATGTATAACACCAATCCTGGATCGAATACCTCAGACTGATATATATAAAGCGACATTTGACAAATGGCAGTACTACCGATGAATACTGCCAGCCATCGGATTTGCGACGATGTAAGGACACTTTTGGTAACTGTGTAACCGATAGCGAGCAGCAGCATGAGAACTGTGTACAGGGTCTCGGAACACGCTTCCGAGAGCTGGCTCAACAGATAAGCGTTCATCGCTGGCATTCCTCTCAGGCCAAGATTGACGTAACTGTAAAGCTCGCACGACACCCCTAATAATTGACACAGCAAGGAGGCGATGAACAGTTTGTAGGATATATGTAGCAGCCTCCTGGAGCGAAGTTGCAGCGCTATGTAGAAACTAAGGACGATGAATATCAGGTACATGCAGGCGATCGGTATCAGCAGCGGCAGTATGTCTGGAAACCGGGAAACGGGCGCAATTAAGGAAACGCTACTCTGAGACTCGCCGATTGTCGTGAAAGTCAAATTACTTGCAGAATTCGTCTGCGGAGAAGTGTTCCTTCCAGAATGCGCCGGGCGCCGCATTGGTCAGCGATATCCAGTACGTGACGTTCAGGCCTTTCGTGGAAGAGCAGTCGGCTAAAACTATGAACCACCATCTCGGCCGGGCCGAGATGAATCTCCTCTGGCTGTCGCATCGGACACCGTCGTCGTCCTCCACGCATCCCGACGATAGCCACGACGTGTTCAGCGGCACTATTTGACCGTAGTGGATGTTGAGAATACTCTCTTTCTCCCGGCATGTCTTGTTGGAAGGATAGACGGTGGGCCATTGGTGTGCTCCATCGTAGTACAGCAGGAGGTTTAGATTGCGTTCTTCACCTCCTAATTCAAAATGATACCGAAAAGTACCGCTTTCTGTTAGAAAACAGAATCTCGCGACAAATGCCCAGTTCTGAAAAAATCACGATATTCAGATATTTGTTATATGTTATTTCTTCGAGCGATTTTATGAGTCATTAGAACTCGTTCTACGAAACGGTAAGACGGTAACATTGTAAAGCGGCTACTGCATCGATCAGTATTATTGCCTACATCTAAATATAATTGCCTATCCATTGTAAAGATATGCAAGACAATATTAATTGCAAAACCACGCGCAATAACTATAAAAAAATATCAATTATAAATCTTTCAGTCTTTTCGATTTACGGATCATTAAAATGTTAAAATATTCGAACGTTAAATTGTCAAAACAATAAATAACGAAAAAAGAATGAGGACTTTATCCTCCCGGAGTTTGTACTTTAATGTTAACTCTCGTCTTCTCTATTTCAAATCGCACTCGCTTCATAAAAAATCACTCGGTTATTTTTCGTTAACGGCAGGTGGAAACTCGGTTTTGCTCGTACACGTACGCGCAATATATATTGATCATGCAAGAGCCGCCCGCGCGAAGCTATGGATCGAAACGCCGCGCCGCTGAAACGACTCGCGTTTCCATTTCATGTTCCACAAAATCGATTCCATCCTGGTAGTTACTTCGTGTGTTATCAGGTCGCCCTCGAGTATTTTGGCATCGGCGTGTCGGAGCAACGGCAGGTGCGCGATCGAGAAGAGCAGCAGCAGAAAGACCAGCTTCACCGAGTTCCGAGTGCGCGACGCTCGTGCGACGAGCGTTCCTCCGCACATAACTACCGCAATCGCTACGGACGCATACTGTCAGCGGCCGTGCGGCCGCTTTGATCAATATTTCCCGGTGCCATGACTCGTATATCGATTTGATTATTCGCACGCGAAACAGGTCGACATTCGCGAGATTGCTGTAAAAGAGGAAAAAAAGAAAAGAGGAGAACAACCCTTTCGTACTCGAAATTTCGCGCTATCATAGATTCCTCCTTCTGCGCGTTCCTATTTTCTATATGTTTTTCCTCTAATTTTTCTGTTTCCTTTCTCATACATGTTTCGACTGCGGGAAACACAATTAAAATACTAGCAGGGCTAAAAACTTGCTTTAATTACTCTAATTGCTTTATTATTTGGATTATGCTTATTACTCAGCGCTTTTTGTAAAATGGGACAATTGTAGATTTTAGAGCGAGGAAGAGAAAGGAAGAGCGAAATTTGTCTGTTAGAGAATGTAGATAAAAGAACGAAAAGAAATATTTTTGAGTACAGTATGTATGTACGCCGATTGCTCGCGTGTCCCTGACATTTGCGTGCATGTCGCTTAATTGCGCAGCATGTAGTATGCATGTGTATGCGTCGTGTTCTTCACGATGGATCGAATTGATTACTTGCAATACAACGACGAAGAAATAACAAAATGCACTCGCTGTAATATAACGTGCTATTTTATTAACTGTCTTTAGAGAAAAAAGTGATTTTTTAAGACAAATATATACTTTTTTATATATAAAAGAGAAACGAGAGAAAGCGATAAGCTTAGGTATTAAAAAATAAAAGGATGACAAATGTGCAAAGAATAGAAAAAATTGAATTTAAAAGAATTGCTCGAAAATAAAGAGATCACATTCAGATTAAAACCTTTTGTTTTCCCGATAAGTTATTTAAATATATTTATTAATTATTAAAAAAATAATACAATACAATTAAAAGAATAATACAA